TCATTTCACAGAGCCTGAAAGCGGGGCACGGTAAATGAGATTTAGAGAGCAGAAGCGGCCCTCCGCGATAAGGCACAGAAACGCCGCCACTTGCTAAAGTGCTAGATGGAGCCCAAAAAATAAACACATTACCTGAGAGAGGACTGAGCTTATTTTCACGGCCCCCATGTAGCATGGAAAAAGCTTCACAAAGGGGTAAAATACTGCAGGGTCCTATAGGGGAATGTATTCGAAGGGGGAAGATGGGGAAGAATTCTGTAAGCCAAAGACAACTGTGATTGTAGGGCTATAATGCCCTAGTAAGAGGGACAACAGTATGGAATTTTTCATTGAGTAAAATGGGAGGTTCTGAAGGCTTTGCTGAGTGTTACAGTAAAGCTACGGAAATCGCTGTGCGTTTATGGCCTTCTGCTAGCCAGTGGCAGCCTGGTGAACCTTTGGTTCCTCAACACCAGCGTCTTCTCTGTAGGAAATCAGCAGGTGTGAAAAATTATGGGAATTAGAAGCCCTGTGTTTGGGCGACTAATACAACAGGCAAATGGGTATGATTCCGCCATAATCGAACCCACGTGGTCGGATGAAGGGTGATTCAGCCGTATCCAGATGGTACCATTCCAAGTACCTCAAGAAGGTGTATGATGAGTAAATAAGCATGCAAAGCCATGTCGTTGTGAAGCATGAGAAATCTGTAACGTACTACCCCACCATTACATAGTTAACAGGACTGAATTTCAAGTCCCGTTCTCCCTTTAACTTCCCAAACCAATCTTCCCCAGCCTCAGCGAAGAAATTCAGGTGATCAAGAGAGCCGTTTATTACTTTTGTAATGCCGTAATCTAAGTGCTTAATAATTCAGCTCGCCAGGCCTTTCCTCTTTGCCTCAGGCGACACACGGTGCAATTTTGTTTTGTCAGACTAGATATTGGAGCTGACAATTGCTTGCACAGTGTTCAGCTGCACTCCCACCCCCCCCTGCCCTCTTCCCGCCTGCCCTCCACCCACGGCAGCATTACATGGCCTACTTGTGGGACACAGGCCTTCCTTAACCCCCCCTCTCCACCACCCCGCCCACAGACAGGCTGTAGGTCTGCTGCCTCCGCGATAAGCGGGCCTCCTTCAGGTGCGGAACAACCGGCTGCCGATGGGAGAGATTGCCTCCATTGTCAGGTTAACCAGTTCCGCAAAATCCCTCTTTTGACATGGCCTAACTGCAAAGGCCGGCGGTTTTTAAGAAAAAAAAGTAAATGGCACAGTGGGGGAAATTAATTTAGCAGATATGGAACGAAGCAAATTTGGAGCTGTTCAGTTGCTGCTTTAACACAGAAGGCCCCAGGAATGGGGTCGGCTTGGCTGCTGCCTGTACTTTTCGATGAACTTCGATAAATGGAAAAGTTCTCAGTTGTATCTTGAAAATCATTGACCCATTGTTCCGCTCCCTGCCCTGAAATCTCCTTTTCCCTGTCCCACTCCCTCTCCCACCCTCTCCTTCTCTCTCCCTCTTTCATCTCCCCCTTCTCTGTCCATCTTCCTCTCTCCCTCTGTCTTCCTCTCTGTCTTCCTCTCTCCCCCTCTTTCACCCTCATCTTCTCTCTCCCTCTCTCATTCCCCTTCTCTGACTTTCACTCCATCTTCCTCTCCTTGTCTATCTCCCTCTTTTGCTCCCTCTTTCTCCCAACCTCTCTTCCTCTTTTAGCTCCCCCCTTCTCTATCCATCTTCCTCTGTCCCACTGTCCTTCTCTCTGTCCCTCTCCTTCTTTCTCACTCCCCTTCTCTGTTCATCTTCCTCTCTACCTGTCTCTCTCTCCATCTCCCTTGTTTACATTCTCCCTCTCATTCTCTCTCCCTCTCTGTCCTCTTCTCTATCTTCCTTTCCCTCTCTCAATCTTCCTGTCTGTTTCCCTCTTCTTCTTTCACTTACTCCCCCTTTCTGTCCATCTTCCTCTCCTTCACTCTGTCTCACCTCCCTCCTTTCTGTCCATCTTCCTCTCTGTCTCCCTGTCCTTCTCTCTGTCCCTCTTTCCCTCTCACCCCTTCTCTCACTCCCCTTGTCCACCTGTCCTCCTTCCTCTTTCTATCTTTCTCTTTCTGTCTTTCTCTTTTATCATTTCTCTCTCTGCTGTCTTTCCATCTCTCCTTCTCTCCCTGTATTTTCCTGCCTCTCCCCTTCTCTCTCCCTTTCTCTCCTTCCCTCTCTCCCTGCCATTCCTTGTCAATCCCTCTATTTCCCGGTCTCTCCTTCTCTCTCCCTCCTTTGTCCTTTTTCTCTCCTTCCCTCTCCCTGTCTCTCCCCTTGTCTCTCCCTCTCTCTCTGACTTCTCAACTGCCACCCTCCCCAGTCTGAAACAAGCCTCGCTTCCCAACGCACAGCGATCCCTGTGTTCTTCCCCTTTGTGCGTCTCCTCCTCTCGGCCAGCCGCTGAAAGGAAGGCTTACGTAACCAGCCCACTGCCGGGCTCCGGCAGAGAGCACGGCACCGCGGGTTGATGGTGAAGGTTGGCTATTGATTTGAAGCTGCTGTCATATGATAGTCAAAGACACAAAGTTCCATTATGCACTGGAGTAATTAGATCAAGCTGTACCCCCTTACTGTAGATGAACACATGCCTGGAGTTTGAAGGTTCATTTGATTTCAAAGCGCTCGTCCTAGAGCGAAGGCCGCGGACCAGCATGGAAAACGGCTGGCTCTCTTCAGGAGGCTTCTGTACACAGCACATAGGCGCACCCCGTTAGCGGGGGGTTAAGGAGACGCATTTTTAGGATAGTGGTTAATGTGTGAATTAGCATTATGTGTCTGAGCTTCTGCACAGCCCCAGTGGAAATAGAACTGGCCCTGTTATGGGGGTAATGATGAATGGAGGACGTCTATGAAAGTAGGCGTAGTCATAACAGATGGGCGGGGTCACTGGTGTCTGTGCTGATCTAGTCTAAGAGAAGCCTGTGACTAATTTACTGAACACGTTTATATCTGATTATTTTGTGTTTGGGCCCTTTGTAGTGTTAGAATCAGACTCATTTGTTTATGCTGATTTTTCTATTAAGCATGTCTGCTACTTGTGGCTTTCACCTGTGCATGAGTGATTTAATCAAAAAAAGAATCATTCTTAATTAGTGTGTTGCCCCCTACAGGTTTGGATCCCCAGACAGCTATTCTGAGGCAGCAGTGTGTGTGTGGGTGTGTGAATGCGTGTGTGTGTGTTCACACTCCTCATTAGCCCCAAAGGCATCCTGTGGTGGCATGTACTTCTTGTCACTGCCATCTTTTGTGTCAACCAAAAATAAATAAATAAAAATAAAAATTCCCCATCGTGAAAAAATCCACAGTGGTAATTGTGGATACAATGATTTGCCAATAAAACTGTTGGGAAACTAATAAAATGAGCTTGGAATTATTTGGAATTCTCTTTAATGAAGCTATGATTGCCTAATTAGAGGAGGGGAAGGCAGTCTCAGATTGGGCTTTGATAGTGCGGCTTTTTAGTCGGCATGCTTAATCTTTAACAGGAGCCTGGCTAGTGCTCACAAGTGCTGAAGCCTCCAGATCTTTATTTAATTCATTATCACTGCATTATTGCATTTGTTTTATTGTTGACTTAGTTAATCTCATTGCCTGCGCCAATTGTTTTTTAGGCTAATTGTCTAAATAAGAAATGAATTTCGTTTTTTTGGACGCAGTTTTCTTTTTTTTGTTGTCAATTAGCACAAAATCAAAGGCTTGTTGTTTTAGCACCCCACTGCAATTAAAAGAGCTTTCTGCTTAAAACAAAAAGGCACCGAGAAAGGAATCAGATTATACATTTGTTATAAACAGAGTCGTTTTCCAATTGTTCCATGTGTGGCCCCCGCGTGTGAGTGCCTGATAAAGGTGGGTGTTCCCCCACATGCGTGACTGCGCTTGTCACCAGTCGACCTCGGCCTTAGAGTCGGGGTCCATCTGCGCCCCCCCCAGCTCATGCTGTTAGCCTCTGCCCCCATGCTTACACGTCATTTGAACTTAGTACCGGCCCTGTATTTGTTTGATGTATTTATCAGCAGTGGGCTGCTGGCAGCCGAACCACGGCGTGCCGGGACCAGGTAGCACACGACAGCGGCGGCGGAGGCGGCACACGGATCAATTAACCGTGACCTCAAAAACCTCTGTCCTTGTTTAATTGGTGGCACGGAAGCAGGCTAATGGCATAAATCAGCTCTTAATGAGATCCCGGCTTGTTGTTAAAATATATAATAAAGTAGGGAATGAACATCGGCCGTGCTTTGTGCGGTCGCACCGAGTGAGTCACCTCGTTTTTACATTTTATAATTTTATTTTTTTCATTTTTGTTTATTTTCATGCGGATCGAGCCTTGATTAACAACGAGGCCGCTGCTCCAAAACAACACAGAGGCGTCTATGTGTGAGCCCGCAGGTCGGCAGACCTCTGTGGCCCTCGCTGCCGGTGCACGCTGCCAAATAAATCATTAGTGGCGAGAATCCTCAAAGGGGCTTTACATGAAACGGCCGCTTTATGCAGAAGACCTTCATCAGCGGAATCAAACAATCAAAGAACAGATTAATGAGGTTTGAGAGAAATGGATTCTAAACATTGTCTAAGATCCTGTCTTCACAAAAGTGCAGGGGGGGGGGGGGGACAGATATCTTGGTGTTGTAGTCGCAACTCTGTTCTGTTCCATTCACCCGACGTCTGCGCGGCTGCCTGCCTCCGCGAGCCTCTTCCCTTCTCTGTCTCCAGCATTTCAGTCTGTAACACTCGCCGCCGGGATTTGAAATAATGCCGCATCTCGGCGGCCGTAGATCAAACGGAAGGTTGCAATTTGACGGCCGACAGCTCGCCTACTAATTTGAGCAAATGTTTTAAAAGAAACTGATCATTAAATCCCTGGTTGCCCCTAAGCGCTGTGTTTGGCGCCGGCTGATTAAGCGGCCCCGCTGATGTCAGGGCCCCGTCGGTGCTGGTGAATGAATGAAAGCGGCTGATTTTCTTTCCCTCTTTTGTTGGCTTGCAGGTCATTTTCATGAATTCAACGTCAGCGGACCAGTGATCACTGGGTGCAGGGGCTGAAATCTTTCCGTTTCTGTAAGTACCCTGATGCCTCGCCGCACGCACACTGCTAACGACTCCGAGACAGAGGTGGGCTTTTCCCTCTTGCTGCGCTAAGCCCTCTGTCACATATTCCCCGTACCCGTGGACACGCTGGAGTGTGTCTCCGTCTTAGTGCCAGCCTCCCTTTGCTCTACTACATCTTGGACGAAATCCAACAATAATAATCTTTCCAAAAAACCGTTCACTGTAAGAACTTTGTCTCCGTTTTCCAACGCGCCAGTCACATTCCTGTGCATGCAAATGAATGCTGGGATAGGCTGTAAACAGTGCCTTTTTTTTTCGTCTTGTATGGTACGACGACGCTTGTTTGCAATTTGGCACTGGGCCAGTCACACATATCCATCACACGCCGCGAGTGTCCAGACGTGTGAGGTCTGTGAGCCAGTCGAGGCTTTACAGATCCTTATCCGGGTGAACACACCTACCTTTATGAGCCCCGACCCGTGTATAGAGGGTACCTTTGACTTGGTGCTTCATGCTAATGCAGATTCGTGCTATACACTGTTTACGGCTGCCCACCGACTCAATAAGAGCATTCAGCACTGAAATGAAGAAAGAGCCCTTTTAAAGGGGCACAGACAAATGCTTCGGGGAGCTTTTGGGAGTACGGCTAACAACGTACCTTTAATACAGCCTCCCCCGCACCTAATAAAGATCACATCTGGAAAAAATGTTGCTTTTGGTAACGTTGAGCAAATAAAGCCAATAAAGTTTAGTTTATATAAATCTCGTTTTAAATGTCAGTGGGAGATGGTTTCATCAGAAATGGGACAGAGCTTTATTAATCTGACTGGAAGAGGAACGTCGGACCTGCATAATGAAAGCCAGCAGTGATAAAAGCGTATCCTATCTCAAAGTTCACAGCCATGTTCTCAAGCTAGCAGTTTATCCTCAGGATTCGACGTCAAACAGTGCCTCCAGATTGGATAAATAGACACCTGTCTGTCTCAGAGCTGCCCCCCCCCCCCATTTGCGTTGCTAAGTCCACCGGCCAAAGAGCTCAGAACGTGGGTAAATTGTAGAGAAAACGGTTTACGTTCGCCTGGCACATCCGTCAGAACAGGTGTGATGGCGACACCGTCACGGAGATGACTAGCCCCCCCCCCCCCCCAGCGATGCCGCTTTCAGAAGCTCCCCTGGGTTTTGTTGCCCGTAAACTAGATCTACCCTGCTTGCTCTTCAGAGGCCCGGAAGTTTCTTCGGTGTATTTTATTTTGGCGTCTTGCCCACTAATGTCTGCTGCTGTTGTGAAAACCTCTGCTTTATGCTTTTTGGTGATCGCTTTGCTGATACACGGGCACACAAGTGTGTGTGACCGTTCGGGAGTTTCCGGTTTGGGCTGCACTTCCCATTTGTACGTCCCAGCCTGCCTACGCAATCCATTAAAATAATCAAGGTGAAAATGCTATGTTAATGTGGCAAGATGAAAGTCCTTTAGTCCTTTTCTCTATACCAATATATGTAGGAATGTATTTTATAGTATAACAATTTATTTTCAAGGATAAAAGATTCATACCATTAATTCCATGCCTCAAGCTTGCCACATGAACTTTGACCTCATTAAAATGTATTTGTACGTAACTGCAGCAAAAACTGCATCAGGTGGTTGTGGTTAGCAGTCTCCTTTCATCAAGGACAGCGGGCATTGATACTACCACTGAAATGTTGCAGGTTAGGCACAATGTATTTCTTAAATATAAACTTTTAAGAAAACTGACTTTTAGTTACTACTCTTGTAATTAGCTTTGCTTTGCATGTTAATCGATTTTCACAAAAAAAAAAATCAATCCTAAATTGTCAATAAAATTATCTAAATTTCTATCTGTCTATGTTCCAAATGCTTATCCTGGTCAAGGTTGTGGGGGGTTTGAGCCTATCCCAGGCAACACAAGGTACAAGGCTGGGACAGTTAGATTTGTTAAAGCAAATTAATTCTCTGTGTCTGCCATCTCCATTTCTTCACACCGCTTCCTTCTGCTTGCAGCTCTGAACAGCCTGGGTTGCATCCACATTCGCTCCCTACACCTAGATTAGCAATCAAGCTCCTGCTCATTTCAATAACAATAGGACCTCTAATTACTCACAGCAGCTGTTTTTGAGTGAGCAGTGTTTTTTTGTATTTAAATTTCACAACAGTGATTGGCATGAAGGTTATGACTGCCTCTGTGCCAACCGGCAAGGTCTCAGAGCCTGACGTCATATCTGACAGCTGCCGTAGCACGTTGGGGGAAAAAACGCACCTTGCTGGTCCCGGTTGCCAACATCCATCAGGCATCCGTGTCTTACTCGACTCGGAATTTGTTTCCGTAAAGTTCCAAGGAGCATCCGATTCCCCGTGCACTTCCATCAGGAAAGCGCAAGTCGCTCATTAATCTAAATACTTTTGCAAGTTTAATCTGCATGTTTAATTAATCATAAAACGAGGCGGTGAGTAATTTCGGCGATGTGTGGCTTGTTACCGCGCGCGCCTAATCACTCCTGCGCTGTCTCTTTTGGAGGCACCTGAGGATGCTGGGAGAGCGAGGGAGCGCGCGGCCTGAGGAGGCGCGAGGCTCCGTCTTTCCACGTGAAGCCGTCTAATAACCGTAACGTCGTGGCACGATGAGAATGGCGTAACCTTCGGCCGTGAGCTCGCGTACACCCAGCCAGCCCTTGTTCGTGATTAACAGCCTTAAGATGGGCACTTGACAAAGTGAGTCTTTAATTCCATCAGCCCCTTCAAGTTCTGCCATTTTCTCAGCTGCGGAGGATCCGCACATTTTATTGTAGTATCGTTGGAGATTCTATTCAACTTCAATTCAAATTCATTTTCTTGGAACGAAGGTTAAAAAAAAAAAATGGAAAAGCAGTACGTGCCAACAACTCAGAAGGCTGCGCCCTTGTCATAAGAATTATTAGATAAATAGTCTTTTGGATGGTTTGATGTCCTTTTATTAAATTTTCAGTAGAATAAAACGTAATATAAACTTGGCTGTCCTTTTTAGTTTTAAGGGACAAATTTTACAGGGCGAAGGGGGGTGGGGGGTTCTACAGGACAGTTTCACCTATAAGCTGTCTTTGGCAGAGAACAAGAGTGAGCATCATTTCATTAATCTCCCAGCTGCCCCAGCTGTGGACAGTAAGGCATAACTAACAGTCCTGTAAAATGAATTAATGATTTCAACCATGAACTTTTCTCCCAAAAAGCCATGAATCTTCCCCAGCTGATAATGTACCGGCCTGCAAGTGTGAAATCACAGTCATGTTAATAGTAGCGAGTTAATTGATTCACAAATTATTTAAAGTTTGTGGTGCCCTGGGGAGTGCTTGGCTCCGACGGCAGCCATTTCCAGAGTTTAAAAACTCTTTTATTTCCATCCTGCATCTGATTGGAAAAAGCTAACAAGCTTAATCAAGATGTGGAGGGGAGGGGAAATGTGTGGGGGTGGGCGGTTGTGCTGGTGGTAGGAGCTGGGGTGGAATGTGTTCATTTAACAGGATTTCTAATGTGAAGCAGATAAACCATACATAGACTGTGCTGCTACGTGATTTAGCTTCTCGCTAATGTTGCAAAATCTACATTATAAGTGTTCTGTCCAATCTACACACCTGACAGGATCTGATGGAAGTCTGTCCATCCATCTGTCAATCCATCCATCCATCCATCTCCTAGCTGAATACGATGGTCGAGGAGGTGGGATTAGTAAAAATGATTATTTTTATTTTCCTGCTTCCCAGTGGTACACTATGCCCAGTTTTCGCCCTTTAGTTACCCTGTGGTTGTTGATGTAACCTTTCAAGGTGACGGTCAGGTCCGGACCTCGAAGTTCTTGTGCCGGATTAATCGTCCTGATTTTTCGATGCTGTGCCTGTCAGTCGGCTACCTGTCAGCTGTGTGCAGGTAAATGTTTGGAAACGAGGCCTCTTGACTATTAAAAATTGTTTTAATCTTAATGTTCAACTTTAAACATTAGCCCCAAAATACTTTTTTAAAAGCATTTGGACTGATAACACCAACATCACAATTAATGAGAGTAGCACTTAGTTATTTGTGAACGCTTGCACAGGCAAAATATTTATTGTTTTTTTTCATCTGTCTCTTCCAATGGACTGTTTGGCTGAGCTGGACGTCAGCGTAGCATTTAGATGTAGTTTACAGACTAATTTGAATTTAGATATTAATAGGAAAGTGAGACTTTCTGTTAGGCTTCAGTGGTAATTTTGTTTTACATATCATCACATCTGTTACCTGTTGTTAAGACCACAAAACCCGCAACTGTACTTGTACCGTAGTTCGCAACGTTATTGATCAATTACTTGTTTTGGGCATTCATGGTGGACTGCTTAGGGTCCTTTCCCACCGCACCAGGTCCCATACTTTTGGTACGGTACTTTCGGAAATTTTCCCTTTTCCACTGACTTCCGGTCGAGTACCAGTATATCTATAAAAGGAATAATAATTAAAATTGCAAAACTAGCTAAGGATTTTTACTATAACAGAGTAATAATGTTTCAGTGAAACTTGAACTCCCTGTGCTATAATGCCCGGACAGTATGAAGGTATGAAAAAGCCTGATCTTAATCTAGCTGACTTGTGATGTAAGAATTGTGTGTGCATAACATTCAATGGTACTTTCTCGGAATATGAAAAGTACGGAACCTGGTGCGGTGGAAACGCGCCCTTAGTCACAACATTCAATTCATAATCCCAATCAGTTTGCCCATCGCTGTAAAATACAGGCGGGGATGTGGGGGGGGGCTGTAATCCCCCCCAATAATTAAAACCGGCCAATGCACACGCCTGACCCCCTCTAAATGGGTGGAGACTAACCCCCCCAATGTTCAACCAAAAGTTACGCTGTTGAGTTTGTCTTGGTTTCAGAATAATCAGCAAGATTCCCCTTGTTCAAAGCAGACTTTCTGAAGCGGGTGTTTTTCTGAGCTGTTCTGGGGACTGGCTGTATGCGTAACAACACGGGCAGCAGCTCTGGCAT